CTGCAGGGAAAATCTCTATTTCATAACTGTCTTGCTTTTAGTACATTTAGAACTGAGTAAAAATTTGTGAAGTAAGCCACCATTTTTTCCAAAGGTCGATCTTTTTTTGTGCAATTATCTGTTTATTCTTCAAAACGATGAAAGAAAAATACAAGCTGCACAATTTTTCGAAATTCGAATTATTTTGGAAGATATATGTAGCTATTAACATTTTTCGAAATTGTTTAGATTTTAATTGTTTTCTCGCGATTGATAATACCGATTCTGCTCATATTTTAAACAAATGAGAATGATATTGTTTCCTTCCCATTTTTATTTTTAATTTGGCCATACATTTTTTTTTTTTTTTAATAAAAGTTATTAATTTTTTTTTTTATATTACTGACATCCCAAAGGCTTTAAATCGCGTTTTCGGCTAATGATGTTGTACGTTCTATTAGCAATTATTGCGAAAAAAAATTTGTCGGAATGTATCGATACGAAAGTTATTCACGCTTTCCTCTTGACGTCCAATGTATTTTGTATGGAAAACGTTTGCCGTGGATATTTACCTCGCATGAATTTTTCAACAATTATCGATTGACCGCGAGTCTATCGCGCTTGCGATACTCATTTCATCGTTTACTTGCAAATTTCTGCGCAAACGCCAATTTACAGGAATTTGCAAGTTTCCCTGTCAGCTGGTGTGCAGGGTTTCATTTCAAACATAATAAATTTTTATAGATGGACAAAAACATCTACATGTATATTTCTTATTACCATGATAAAAATATAGTAAGGTATAACCGCTGAGAGTCACTTTTAAAATTCTTGACGTTTCCAAACAATTTAATTTTTAAATTTACTCACAAACTCACACACACATTTTCATTTTCAATCTCAAGCAACAACAATTTCGAACAATTTCAATTTTTCATTTTCACTTTTATATGATTTTAAAATGTTGGCAAACTTCAAAAAAAAATCATGGCCGACAAATTGAGAGAACGGTTCTACCTTGCTATGTTTTTATCATGCTTATTACTCGTACTTCTTTTTTTTTTGATTTTCTACTTGAGCGAGAATTTGAGAGAATTTTTTCTTACTTTCTGATATTTTAAGTGATGGCTAATACGTGCTGGATTTTCGACGACGGCGATCGCGTACACAAAAAATTTGCAAAGTAGGGGAAATTAAGAGAGCGAAGTCACATTTAAAATTGTTTACTATAGATATTAGGTGCAATCCCGTATTCCTCGGACTTGGACTAGTAAAACTGTCAAAAAATAAAAATTCGCTCAGAGCGAGAGAGTAACATTGAAAAGTACGGGATCGCTTTCTAGTAAAAAATGGTAACTTCTGTCAACTTCAACATAACCTCCAAATTTGGGTTGTAAATTTTTGTTTATTTTGTATGTAAACCCACTCAGTTCACACATGTAAATAGCCAAAAATGCTTTCAAATTCATTAGAATCCACTTAAACAAGTAATTAAAAACTTTTCAACATGAATTAGCAGAGTGAACTTTTCTTTTGTTTACAATTTGGTTGCCAAAAACACACTACAGCTGATCGTTTGACACATTTACCAGAATTTACCAGCAAAAAATTCTCGGACTAAAACTAATAACTTCTGGCAGAGAGAGAACCGAATTTACTCTCTTTTTTGTCCTCTCAATAGTCAGAGAACCAAGTACGGGATCGATTTCCAGTAAAATCTGACTGATTCTGACTATTTCTGACTAGTCCGGACTCGTACGGGATCGCAACTATTGAAGGACTATGGTTTGAAAATTTGATTATCTGGGATATTATAAAAAGTAGGTTTATAGCGGCCTGTGTAACATCGAAACACACGCTCTTATTATCATAGATATGTACATACATATGTACGTGAGTACATACTACGAGTTTTACTAAGTACTACTTCAATTGCTGTCTTGTTACGAAAAATAAAAAAAAGACTAAAGCTTTTTATAATATTGTGTTTCCAATATTTTGGCTTGGCACTTGTAGTTGCTTAAAATGCAGCTTATCTCATTTATTAAACGTATTTTATTAGTTTTCAGGCGTACAATTAGTAAGCTTACAATTACACTCATTTGCACATTTTATTGCAACAATTTAATACTTCCACATTTACATCGATAAATGAATAGATCTGTATGAAAAACTTGTAATTTCATCTATAATTGATATGCAGGCGAGAACATCGGTTCGCCAGCCAGTCCGCGCAAAACATTATGCGCAGCTATTGTGGCCATATCGTTGCGAGTGCGCTCGGTGGCTGAGCCCAAGTGGGGAAGAAGAACTGAAAAGAGAACAGAAAGCGGAAAATAGTTTAGAGTGAGTTGAAATATGTACTTCTTATTATATGAAATTATTTTTGTAAAACCAAGGTAAATCTGAATATTTGAGGTGCATACTATCACACTAATGCGAACGATATATAAAAAAGGCTTTATCTGACAACAAAAATGTAAGCCACTCTATTTCCGTGGCAACATCAAGTCGCAAGCCACTCCTAATAAAAAATAATTATGCAATAATCAATTCTGCGTTCTCAAAAGAGGGGTATCAATTTGACTTTGATCAACTAAGACAACCATAATTTATGCTGCCTTGGGTGCGAAAAAAAACCAAAAATCGAGTATTCTTTCAAAGATTTAATATGACAAAATAATAAGAACAGCAAAAACGTGTTTCCTTTCGATAAGATTGCGGAGATTTAGAGCACTTTGGTGGTCGTTGAAAACAGTTCAGATAAAAATAGTCTTATCAGCACCTTGCGAGCCAGTAGGTACTTATTATCAGTACCTCTTTAGACTACAAAGAACATGTATACACTTATTCATCGCATGAATGCCTGAGGCAAATGCAATTCTGCAAAATTTATGGCAAAAAAAAACATATCGCCAATTTATGCCGCAACGCCAACTAAGATTAACTCACCAATATTTGGTAAACTCAAAAGCGGATCATCGGCGGGCAGTGGTTCCGGAGTCATCACATCCAAACCCGCAGCGAATATTTGTTTTGTTTTCAGAGCTTCATACAGGTCCGGCTGGTTCACAACGCCTACATAAATAAATAATAAAAAAAAGTTCTACCTAAGCAAACATTTTTACATTTCACCACTACTTCGATACTCACCACCGCGCCCAATATTCACCAACACAGCGCTCTTCTTCATTTTACCAAAAGCGCTGGCATTGAAAACACCAGCCGTCTCATTGGTCAGGGGCGATGCAATGACAACGAAGTCACTTTCCGCCAGCATAGTGTCGAAATCAACTTTTTTGGCAGAGTACTCCTTCTCGATATCCTCCGAAACGCGACGCCTTGTCGTGTAGCGCACGCTGTCAATGTCGAATCCTTTCAGGCGCTTAGCGATTCCCTGTGCAATACCGCCGAAGCCAAAGAAACCGACCACGGAGCCCCGCAAGTCTTGGCCCAACATCCAATTCAGATGGAAGCTCTCCCAGGTGTTCCTACAGCCGATCGTAAAAGCAAACGTTTGCCAAATTTTAACTCTACCTTAGCAATAATAATACCTACGTTTCGATCTTCAAAGGGCCGCTGTATCAGCTACGGCTTCGTTGAGCACTGTGGGCGTGTGACCAAGTGGAATTTTTCGGCGCTTCACTTCCGCCACATCCACGTAATCTATGCCCGCCGACATGGTGGAAATCGATTTCAACTGCGGACCGGCGGCATCCAATGCCTCGGCATTAAGCGCCTCATGGCCACCCCAGAAGAAGGCGTGTACACCTTTAGCCTTCTCCAAAATTTCCGAACGCTTCGGCGGCCAACTCTGACAAACGATCACCTCGCAGCTGCGCGACAGCAGATCAATGGCAACCTGAGGCACTTCTGGGTGTGTGACTAGAATCTTGAATTTCTCCTCTTCACCGGACATTTAGCCTTTCGTTTCGGAATGAGCGGCAACAACGCGCACGCAAGTGATGGCAAGAGAGGCGCATGTGAACATAAAAAGAGATAAGTTTCGTATAAGCATTTTGTAATTATTGATATCACTGGTCAAAAAAGAAATAAATATTTATTTTAGCGGAGATTAAGTTTTCTCGGGCAAAATTTCAGAAGTTCTTTGTGCTTCTGCGTCTTTATATCAACTGAACCAACTATGCAGCTCAAAAATATATTTGCCTTTTTAAACCGGCTTTTGTTGTTGAACCCCTCTCGGCCACTCACTTACAAGTCGCTCTTAGCTCTTTCGATGACGCCGTCGTAAAACTGGAGGATATATAGCGCAGAATTTTAGTGGGCAGTAAGCGGCTCTGCTGCGAAACGAACATTTCTTGCTGCTGGGTCTGAGTACGTTTGAAAAACGAGCTGTTGCAAGCGACTACTCGGTCAAGTTGTTGAACGTTTTTGAGAGTGTGTATGTTCCGCGAGAGCTTTAGATCACACATAGACTTTTGCCCCCACACAGTTAGGCGCTCTCTAAAGTTACTTATCGTAACCAGCGTTTACCTCTCTGGATATTTTTGATTTGATCGATACAGTGCAGCAGTTTTGTGAAATTGCGAGCCAAAACAATTGAAATTTGAAGTACATGCTATGTATACTTCGATTTCATTTGAAAGTGTGAAATAATTAAAAAAGTACTACGTGGGCGTGGCTACTTATTTTTTTTAGTCCAGACGAATAAATTTAGAAAAAAAAAAATACAAAATAGTGAAGACATCCTAAAAGGTAAGGAAATGTACTGTTCAACTATGAAAACGTAGCCCTCCCAACCTAACCTAGCCTGAGTTGACATGTGGAAACGCAGTTTTATGAACAAGTTGAAATTGTCTGGATAATGCAAAAATTTTGCACAGTTTTGTAAATTACATACTTGACTGCGCTTGGTAATTTAGCAAACTCGTGAAATTTCTTACTTTTGTTACTTTGCTCAGCAAAAATAAAACACGCCTATCCCATAACTACAGTAGCAGTGAGATAAAGGATACGAGTATACAAAATTTGTGTTTTCGTTTTAGTTTAGATATAAGTTTATCAAGCCATATGGTTTGGAGGGCCATTTCATAATCTGGTGTTAGTGAGTTGCCATTCATTAAGGAAACACTTTAAGTGCTAAATAACAACAATACCCACTATATTGAAGCCCTTGTCTTCTGTGCAATTAAATTGGGAGGGTATAACAACTCTGAGGTAGCCACGAAATAGCCCAGATTTGAATCTTATGCAGAATTGCTGGACTATTTTCAATAAATATATGAACAATAGAAGCGCTTGGAATAGGATAGAATTGTAAGAGCCAATCTTAGACGCGTGGAAAAACAATATAACGATTCAATACTACCAAGCTTCAGCAAACTCGATGCTTATTAAAATTTTAAGTGTCCTTTATATTATTTTACAATTTAAAAATTTTTTGTTTGTATGTGTCACACACGCAATGCTGTACAAATATTGGAGTTTGGTTTCTCATTTTTAGGTTTTTTGGTTATTTGTATGCCACATTTACTTTATTATTTATTACTCATAAAAAATAAAGTAGGTTCAAAAAGTTTTATAAATTGGCGTTTTCACACATTCTTCTATTTATAAAACTTTTTAAAGCTACTTGATTTTATGTGAATAAGGCTATTAGATTATAATCATATTTTTGTATTGTTTATATCAAAATCTTCACTTATGGCCCACTGTGCTATAGATTCTAAAAGTTCTATGCTCTCGCTTCAAATTCAAAATTTCTCACTTACCAACTTATTCTGTATATACCTATGTACTTTTGTTTTTTTCTTTTTTGTATTCAGCCCAGCTGCCTGCCCAGTCAACTTTGCAACTACACGATCAGCGTTCTACTAAATGAGTTTGCTCAAAAGCCGTCAATTTTATAATCAAATTGGTTAGAATTTAAAAAATTTTAATTGCAGTGAAGAAATGTGTGTAGCTGGCACTTGCAGATAACATGTACATACATACATACATACATACAGACCTACCAGACGTATGTACCTAATCATGTTTTCAAGTAATCTATTTTCTCGGTAAAAATCATTGTTTGATCATTTTGCACGCTCCGCGAATGTCATTTGGTGGGCTGCATGCGACTTATCTAATATATTTTTTTTTAAATATATAAATGTTAACTCATGGACTGATTACTTAAAATTAATAATTAATGATTAAGCGGGAGGGGAATCCCACACACTCTCATGTTGCTTCGTAAACTGTGCTCAGTAGTGAACATAACGGTACATTCGAGAGAATGTTTTTGCAATCCGAAAATGAGATTCTCTTGCATTGCTGTGCTTGTGAAAAAATAAAAAAAATCTGACACTTTGACTAGAAAATTATTTGTTTAACAATACAAACTTGGCCATAACATAACTTTGTTTTTCTCACGCATAAATCTCAGTCAATACATTTTTCTGGTGCAAAATTACACAGTTCGTTTTTAATTTGGATTGTGAGAGACTTTAATGCACCACATACATATATGTATGTAAGTACAGTCGATAAAGAGCAAATATATCTGCAATAAATTTAATTAATTAAGAGCAATATGCCTTTGCATTTTTCGACACTACTTGGATTTCGAGCCTGGCAAAGCAAGAATAGCAAATATACAAATGAATGCTCTCATCATTTTTACTAAAATTGTTTAAAATTTAAATATTTATATATTTTAAGTTTGATATTTTTCATGCTGGCAAGATTCTCTGTTGAAAAGCTCAAAGCTTCAAGAGCAACAATAAACCAAATACAATTGGGGTGCTGTTAAGTAAGCTCTATCATGCTGCTATCGGAACTGTATACAAATGCACGCATATACATATCTACATATGCATATGTGTGCAGGCATTGTATACATATACAATATACAAGGTGGAGCAAAATTAATCATCCAATTTGGTTTTTGAGTAACTTTTTACAAAATTGAAAAAGTGTTTTGAGTGATGGAAATCTTTATTTCGACGGTGCTTTGGTAAAACCTCGTATCTCAAAGCACTCTCAAACAATGCCCTCTAACAAAAAACTCTCTTTTACTCACTTTCACTTTACTTTCACTTTTTAACTGTATATTAAAGGTTACGTACCCCAAAACCCACCCCTTGTGTGCGCTAATGCTATGTGTTCAACTTTAAACACTTTGTGTGTAGTTCTTCTCTACGTGGCACATTTGGTATGTAAAAGTAAACAGACAGTATTTTATTTTGCACACACTAGGAGAGGAAAGAGGTTACCTCTCTTTATATGCGTAAATTTAAACAAAAATTTTGTAGAGGAAATTTTAAACAATTTATGTGTAAACTGTGAAATTGTGAACAATAAATGTTTAGAGCTCAAAAAACAAATTTGAAATTTGTTCTACGCCACACATATGACAAGTAAAAGTAAGCAAGCAGTGTTTAATTTAATTAACACGGTGTGTAAATTTGCATTCATTAAGAGAGGAAACTGGTTACCTATCTTAATATGCGCAAATTTAAACAAACATTTTTTACAGTGTAATACCAATTTTCTTTTGTTCCGTGCTAAATGTACTTAATTAAAAATTGTCGGCTGAATGTTTTAGAACATGTCAACTTAACATCAACATCAACACTTAACGTAGGAGTATTTAGGCGTTCGAGACAATTTTACCAAATGAGTGTTAAAACAATTTCATTCTTATTTCCTACCCGGTGCAATCCGAACAAAAAAGAAATGCACACCCAATTCCAATATTTTGTCTAGACATTTGCCTAAATGAATTCATATCCGTTTACAACAGACGATTTCCGCCTCTAAACTGCCATTTTCATGCAACGAGCAATAGGCAGTTGCACGAGTGGGTGCAACAATCACTCAACGCTGCCTGTCGGTGCTGTGGTCCAAGTGTCATTTGAGCGCAGTTGAGCAAAGCTGTACCCAAGAAAATACGCGATACCAAACGCTTTGACGGCGATGAGGATATTGAGTTGCCAAATGTGAGGCGTGTGCCTTCGCAGATTGCCCAGAAGCTACTAAAAGACTGCAAGTGCATCTGGAAGCAAGTGAATGCATACAACTGCATATGCTCACAGCGCAACAAGCTTTAAAAACTCAAAAAAAAAAAAAAAAAAAAAATGTAGAAGGAATGCCGCCACAGCTTCCACCAGCTTCTGTGGGGAACAGCAGGGTGAACCCCTGCCTACAACCACCTGCAACACTATTAGCTCAATCACGAGTCAGTTGTGCGGTCAACCAAATGCCAATTTGCCACGAGTAGCGCCACGATTTCCCAATTGGAATGGAGCAATGCCGACATGAAGGGCTCCAAAGCGCACATTAGCGGCATCACAGTATCTCCTCCTTGGATGCCATTGTCGCCACAGTGTTCCCCGCTGCGTGGCTGCGTGGGCGTACGCTGGTCACATGGGAAATCCCCAACTGGTATTTTCAACAGGCAAACAGCCAACAGCGCAAGCAAAGCCAGTCACTAGCCTCAACCGCAACAGAAGGTAACGGGGGACCTAAGAGCCAGCCGTTTGGAGAAATACAACAATAACAACAACAACAACAGCATTAAACGACTGCAATGGAACGAACAAATAGGAGTGGAGTGGAAGTAGCAACAAAAGCAACAACAAGAAGTACACTCGAAACGAGAAAAAAAAAGAGGAGCGGAACAGAAAAATTTTGTGCGCGCCTGAATTGGGAAAGGAGGAGAGAAGCTCAAATAAATGGCTTTAAAGCAGGGGAGCGCTAACAATAAGCGTGCACGCGATGCTGCAGCAAACAAAGCGGATTGTGTACACCTCAGCGCAACGACAGCTGCTCCCCCTGTGGCTGTGGCTGGGGAAGTGATGGCGACTGCGTGCAAGGCAGCAGTATTCGTGAAGTGAACGAAGGTCGCACAGGAACAACAGAGGAGAGGAGTGGAGGTGAACATATGCAAGTATAAATAAAAGTATATATTTGTGGTTGCATGGCGTGAAAATCTTCACGTAAATTCGCAAGCCAGCACAGCAGCTTGCACTCTGATTAAAATCGAGGTAGGAACTCAATGGAAGCATCAACTTCAAACGGGGACGCTGGGAAGTAGGCCTGAAAAGACGAACAAACAAAAGCAATGGGCGAACTGCGTAAATTATGCGAACATCTACTAGGTATCTACCATCTACTCTCAACTCAGGTTGACCTGATGCAAGTTGTGCTAGATTCTAGTTTCAATGATACTCGTAGATATGTATGTAAATATTTTAT